AATTAGTGAGAATATAACAAAAGAAGTATCAAATATTGTTATCATAACTTTATCTAACATTTAATAATTCATTTTAATTTAATTGATTATTAATATAATTATTATATTTTACAGATTTATAAAGAATGAAAATTTTTTGATTATTTAAGTTGAGTTTAAGAGAATAAGATAGAATTATTATAATTTAAATACTTCATATTCTTTAAATGAATATTCTTAAATGTTTTTATTATTACACGAGTCTTTGTTACTAAATAAATTTAAATTTAAACAAGAAAATGTATATTAAAAGTTTAAAAATATTTTACAATTATAACTTCTAAAATAGATTCTCTATAAATTTAAAAGTATACATTTCTATAAGGCATAATATCATGAGAATCATTCAATCTATTAATTTGAAACCAAAAAATAAATTCAGTATTTATTTAGAATTAATGAAGAAATAATAACAACATAAGAAAAATAAATTTATTTCCATTTAAACAAATTGAACATAATTTAAGTATTTTAATAAAATCTATTATAGTAAATGGTGTAAACGTTCAATATAATCAGAAATATCATAAGTCAAAGACTAAGACTGTTATATATTCATACATTATAATAATAAAATTTAACAATGATTAAAATAATATAAAATTTAATATACTAATTACATATACTTTACTTAAAAGAATGGTGGTGTGTAAATATTAATCTCATAGTATAGATAAAATTAAAATATTTAGAATATTCAAGAATAATACAAATCAAGAAAAGTTTGTGTTTATTAGAATGTATAATGAGGATAAAAGATAAAAAAAGAAGTATCCAACCAAATAACAAAAATATTAAAAATGAGAATTAAGACTTATGAGCATAAAATTAATAGAATTTAGAATTTTATGTATGACCTAATTAACACTTCAAATAATCAATTTATATTTGTTACAATATCAGGTAATATAAAAAAAATAACAGTGTGATGTTAAATTGTAAAAAGTGTTCATAAATAAAACATTTTCTATATTCAAAGAATTAGTATACTTATGTAAAAGAAACATTTATAAATAATACACCTGTAAGAAAAGGTATTTCAAATTGAATCATACCTATACTTATTTTAAAAGAAATAAAAAAAAGAATATCTAATAAATACTAAACAAATGAGGTTTTACTTAAGAATATTTAATTTATATTCATATAACTTCTAGATGTAATTAAAATGTGTGTTTATAAAACAAACTAATTTATTTATTTTCCTCTTATTCATTTAAATAATTTAAATTATAATATAAATAATAAATTAAAAAAAAATAAAACTAGATATAAAAAACCGAATATAGAAAGAGGTTTTTTCCATGTATTTAAATTGGATATGTTAATAATAAAAAAATTAAATAAATTGTGCTGACAGACATGAACAAAATAAAGATAAAACTACGCAACGAATTAAAGACATTATTAATCTAATAAACTTTGTTAAAGATTTTATTATTTATATAATCTTAAGATAAATAAAAAAAATTTTAAAATCTAATTTAATGAAATATTTTTTTTCTCTGATTTTATTGAACTTGAATTTCTTAAAAGAACAAAATCATTACGAGACGATTCTCTTTCTGGTTTTTTTCTAAAATAGGGATTTTTTATATGAGTTTTTTAAGATTTCTTTACTAAACTAATAGTATTTATTATAAAAAGCTAAAATAAGAAGAAACAGCTCAAATCATTATATTTTTTTTAGCACAAAAAAAAATAAATTATCAAAACCCAAACCATAAAGGAACTATATAAATATTATAAAAAAACTAATTACTTAGCATCGTTAAAAAAAAATACAGAGAAAAAAACGAAAGATTTTTAATAGAACACAGATTATTTCTTGTTGAGAGTTCATTAATGAGATTTCTTATTTCAGATGGCTTTGCAAACAACACAATACCAACCAATTGATAGAGATTTTAGTAGTACAACAGAAAGTGAACTGACTAGCTCTGCTTCAAATAAAGAAACTCATCCAGTACCTCCTTTTGAAAACCCCATAGGCAATACTAAATTACCAACGCTCCCAAGTTTTAATGGAATTAACAACCCATTCCGCTGTCCTACAGTTGTAGTAAATGATGATTTAAATGACAAACCATTAGGAAGTAAATTTAAAACACCTGCAAAAAGACTATCATATTTAAGAGAAAGAAAAATTCTTGGAAGAAATGAAGAATCAGAAATTATTGATGGTCTTCAGTACCTTCTAATTATTAGACACCATGCTGTTTTCTATTATGTCAAAGAAAAAAGGTCTAAAAAAACAATGAAATTCAGAATTCCTCATTCAATGGAACTGAATGACATGAAATTAGGTATTAATGAATTATGTGAAATTGGAGAAAAGTGGTTAGTTGAAAGAGGGCTTTGTGAACGTTGTTTAGAAAAAGAAAAGTCTCAAAAAAGAATCCAAAGGTCAAAAGAAGCTGAAGTTAATGGGGCATTAATTTGTATAATGGATTCATTAGGATATTCTTTTGAATTCAAGAAATTAAAAGATAAACAAAATCGTAAAACTACTCCATTTGTTAAAACTATATCAATAACATTTCCTGATGGAGTCAATTATTCTGTAGAAGAATTAAAAAAGTTTGGAAAACAATATGATGCTATTATGCTTCAACAAGACTCACGTAATGACTAATTTCTTTTTAACGTTATAGAAAACTACTTTCTCTCTATTTATTTCATTGATTGTTCAATATGATTTTTGTTTCTGTTGGTTGTTTTTTTTTGTTTTG